TATAAATATCCATGAATATCCGTGGATATCCGTGAGTATTCAAGAAATTTATAGATATTCGTTTAATGGATACCCGCACGAATATGGGATAGGTATGGAGTCAATTTTCATTCAGTGGGGCAGGGACGCGTTTACTATTACCCGCCCCATGGACCCCATTGCCATTCCTATGCATAACTAAGAAACTCTTTCAAATTAGGATGCCCCATAAACCAAAACCAATATGACAAAAGCTGCCAAATCTTAAACCTTAAACCAACGACAAGTGATTTGGTGATTTTGCCACTCATGTTGATCAAATCAACGACCCACCATGATGACCCAAAGAACTTGGGTGGTGGTGGCCCTCTTGATGAGTATAAATAAAGCATTTTCTCAAAGATATTCCTCATTTGGTTACTTCCACAATTTCTAGAGTCCCATATATTTCTACTTTAATTAATACTCACGAATGCCCACTTTTTTCATTCCATGGACGATTCTTAGTAGATTCCAAGGAATCATCCTATGCTCCCCACTTCCCACATGACACCTTTTTCCACTACTTCCAACTTTTCATTCTTGACAAATATGAAAGGCAATCTCTTTCTTCTCCCTCACGGATCTACATTTTTTTTTACCCTCGGCAATTAAGTTATTTTATAAATTTCTATTTGATCCTCAATATTCTATCTCTTAACTTATTAGAATTTTTTAAACACCACTAGGACATTCTAGTAATGGAGATTGAAATAGACATAATTATTTAAGTTTAATCTTCACCAGTATCGTTAAGGGGACTTAATAATAAGATTAGTAAAGTTTAAATTTTAGATTCACCTTAAAAGATATTTTTTTTTTATAAAATAAAAGGTCACATATATTAATAAAATGTATAATATATTACATGAACAAATTTAATATATATCTTTTTATTTTAAAAAAAATCTTTCAATATTTATTTTAAGTCTCACTTATTATTGAGTCAATTCTGAGTATTTTCATAATTTTTTACTTATAAAATAAAATATTAGACTTTTTACTTGTATGATACTTTTATATGTAAAATATATATATATTTCCTATCATATCAGTTAATTTTTTATGTGTAGTGTAATTAGAAGAGATTACTTGATTTTTATTTGCTTAAAATAAAGAATTAATTGTATCCATAAATATGAACTTTTTTATAATTATATAATTGATAAAATTATAAAATAAAAGATCATATATGCTTAAAAATGAA